TGATGTTAAAGTACGATTACGAACATGATTCAAACAAGTAAATGAGGTAGATGTAGCTAATATATCGTATTCAATTAATAATTTTAATGGTTTATGATTTTGATGTAATTTACCTAAGTCACTTAAGTTAAAAATATATGATATACCATTATTAATATTGATATTATCAATTTCAAAATATTGCATATTATTTAATTTGTAAGACTTATACACTGGTTTAAATTTATTAATATGTTTTTTAATAATATTATTATTTTTTATTTTTAATAATCTAACATCATCTAAAATATACGATATTATTATGTTTTTAATTTCTATTGGTAAATAATAAAATATCATATAATATTAATATATTTATTTTTTTAATTAGTAATTTAATTATGTATTTAATTATTAATTTCAGGTGTTTCTTCTCGTTGTTTCTTTTTGTTGTAATAATATTCTCTACTCTTTTGATTTCTTTGTTCTTTGTTTTTATGATGATGCTCTCTATCTTTTTGTCTTCGTTCTTCCAAATTATTTAAGCGATACTCTCTACTCTTTTGATTGTATATTTCTTTATTCTCATTATAACGTAATCTGTTCTTCTCATTAATTTTATCTTTATTATTGTTGTAATATACTTGCTTTCGTTCTTTAACCTTCTCTTTGTTAGTTTCCCTATATTCTTTTCTTTGTTGAATTATATACTCCTTGTTGTTCTCTCTCCATTCTTTGCTTTTCAATGCTAATTCTTCCTTATGCTTATTCCTGTATTCTTTTCTGGCTTCTCTTATTCTATCAGCATTAGTAGCGTTATACTCTTTTGCCTTTTGCTTGATATAATCCTTATTATTTTCTACATATTCCTTTTTATATTCTTTCAACTCCTCATCTGTTCTAAATGGACGTGCTTTGTTTAATGTTGCGTTTAGTTCTTCTATATATTCCCTCTCACGCTTCAAAGCCATTAATCTATTTTCACATGTTTCAGTGTTTATCAATATCATATCAAAATTGTCCCAATCACCATTTTGACGAATGAATTTATACAAAGGCATATTGTAATGTATTTTGTCATTTTCATTATTACAGGTTCTTTTATGAGCCGACTTTCTATTTTTGAAGTTTATTGTATGACCCACATAGCAGTCTTTGATATTTAAATCATTACATACTATTTTATAAAAATGTGTTTTGGTGTAATTCATTTCTTTTCGTGGCATTATAAAGTCCTATTAAGTAATATAAGTTAATCTTTAATTGTAAATCGTTTCTCGAAATTAATATAGAACATACGATTAACATCTTTTGAATTCAAATTAACGAAAAAGAATGAATATGTAGAATGATTTATTGCTGTATGGTACATTTCTAAAAGTTTGTCCTTATCAACTATCGCTGCGTTTTCTTCAATAAAACTCATTAACTCTGATATATTCTTTAATCTAAAAATGTATAATGAACTGGCATTGACACGAATTATATTGGCGACTGTTTTATATTTTTGAAGACTACATATGCAAGAGATGGCGTCATGTCTTCCGCGCGTAAATAAACCGTGTAATATTTTTGAATATCTTAAAAATTTAGGGTCATCTGAAAAATCATCAATAACAATAAGAATTGAATATAATTTCTTCATCTTCTGTTCTTTCATATAATGAATTATCTTTCTTTGAGTGTTAATTATTTCTTCTAGTTCTTCAGGTTGGTAGGTGTCATAATATAACTTTTCTTTTTCATCATCAACCTTCATATTATCTTTTTGATATTTCTTGACTTCAACGAAGGTAGGGTCATTATGAACCGAAGGGCTAAAAAAGAATATACGGGCGAAGCAGTCCCTATAAACATTTAGGATAAGGTTTTGAATTAAAACTGTTTTGCCACCCGTTGATGAAGCAACAACAATTGAGCGAAAAGGTAGTTTTGGCACATGTTCATATTTAGATTGTTTGAAATCGTAATCAGTTATATTTATTGGTTTTATTATTGGAACATCAGACATAATAAAATAATATTAAAGTTATTTAGAAAATATTTTATATTTATTATTTTATATGAATAGAAGTTATTCAGATTATATTGATATAATAGATAAAGTAGAAAATATAGAACAAGTAATACTAACTGATAATAGATTTAAAAAAGTATGCTATTTTGTTTTAGAATTAATTAAGTTTGTGATACAATATATTAAAAATATAAATATTAATATAGATGGGGAGAAAGAAAAAGAATAAGACAGAATCAGTTGTTTCTTCAACTGATGAAGAAAAAGAAGAAATTGTTAAAGAAACATCAGTTATTGAGTTTGCTTGTCCAATGTGTAAAAAGATGTTAGAATTAAAAAATGAATTAGAAATACAAAAGAAAGGAAACTGTAAATGTTCGTGTATTCCAACCAGTTTCAAAATAAGTAGAAATGATAAGAAAATGAATATTGATAAAACTAAAGACAGTATAAACTTAGAAACAGATGTTCATAATATTGCTATCAAATGGGGACGGCATGCATCACCAACCGATAATAGTGATAAGGAAACTCAGGAAACTATACGCGAAATGATGAATTCAATAGTTAAAATTATTTCTATTATTATTTATAATGCAAGATGGTATAAATAATATTCTTAAATTCATTGATGTAAAAGAATTGAAATTGAATAATTTTATTGAAGAATATAACGAAAATGATATATTAATTAATTTTGTTAATGACTTTAGAAATAGCAAAATTGATTTTAACATGTTTTATAATTCTATTAATTATGCTGATTTATTTGAACAATCAGATTTAAAATTTTATTGTAAAAGAATATATTCATATACTTTAAGATTTATTGCTAATTATGATAATAAAAATGCTATTCAGTTTTATGAAATTACATTGAGAAAAATGAATAATATTTACAAAAATAGTAACATTAATGTTGTTAATGTGTTTGAATGTATTAAATGTTTAATAATTTATATTACAGATAATATTGAAAAGTTTCATAAATATTCAAAATTTAGAAAAACTATTATTTGTAATTTAATTGGTAAATTGAATAATAATTTAACGAGTTACACAATAACTAATTTTGAATTGACTTATAATGATATATGATTTTGTAAAATAAAAGTTTAGTTTTAAAAGTTTTATTTTATAATATAATATATATATTTACATGGATGAAGGATTAGAAAAGATTGTTAAAAAACTGAACAAGGTTTTAGAACAGAATAAGAATATTTTAGAAATCTTGCAAGAAATGGAAAAGAAGAAACCATTAACAAACAGTTATCAAAGTAAAGAAGTAGATAGAACCAGTGCTGAATATAAAAATAAGAAACAAACGTATTTAAACAAACTTAATAACAAAGAAATTAAAGAACCGAAGGCTTCAACTATGACATTTTATCAAATCGACTATGATGAAGATACAGGGGTTTATTCATAAAGTTGCATTTACTCATAGATAATATTATCTAAATATCTTTAATAATGAACTTATTAGAGATGTTTAGCGGAACAGGCAGTGTTGGACTTGTTGCAAAGTCGCTCGGTTTCAATGTTATTTCATTGGATTTGAAAAATGCTGATATAAATACTGATATTTTGAAATGGGATTATAAACAATTTGATAGGAACCATTTTGATTTTATCTGGGCAAGTCCTCCATGCACTGAATATAGTGTAGCAAAAACTAGGGGCATTAGGAATATGGAATATGCAAATAGTATTGTCTTAAAAACTATTGAGATTATCAAATATTTTAATCCTAAATATTTTGTAATCGAAAATCCACAAACTGGATTATTAAAAAATCAGGAGTTTATGGATGAGTTTGATTTTAAAGATGTAGATTATTGTAAATATGGAATGCCTTACAGAAAGAGAACTAGGCTTTGGAATAACATTGCAACTTGGAAACCTAGAGATTTATGTAAAAAAGATTGTGGCAACATCAGGAATAATAAACATATTGAAACTGCGCAGAGACTGCCAAATGGAAACAAGGAAAAATGGGGAGACAATCCAACAATACATAAACAGGAAGACCTATACAGAATACCCGAAAATCTTATCAGTGAAATTTTAATGAGTGTTTGACACATAGGGCAAGTGTGTTTGACACATAGGGCATGTGTGTTTGACACATATGGCATGTGTGTTTGACACATATGGCATGTGTGTTTGACACATATGGCATGTGTGTTTGACACATAGGGGTATGTGTGTTTGACACATAGGGGTATGTGTGTTTGACACATAGGGGTATGTGTGTTTGACACATAGGGGTATGTGTGTTTGACACATAGGGGTATGTGTGTTTGACACATAGGGGTATGTGTGTTTGACACATAGGGGTATGTGTGTTTGACACATAGGGGTATGTGTGTTTGACACATAGGGCATGTGTGTTTGACACATAGGACATGTGTGTTTGACACGTAGGGCATGTAGTTATGCTTGTTTCATACTATAATAATAACATGTAAAATTCTATATGTTATAATTATACTGTACTTATAGTTTGTAAAGATTGAAATATTTTATTTTTTCTTGATTTGGCTGACTCTTTCAAAGTGCGTTGTTTGAACTTGGTATGCTCTTTTGATTTTTTCGTGCTTTGGCTGTTTGTATTTTATTTTGTTTGATACTCTTCTGATATTTTTTGATGGTATGTTGCTTTGTTTTTGATTTTGTGTGTTTTTGAGATTGGGTTCTTTGATGGTTTTTATTTTTGCTGTTTTGTTGGTATGCTTGTTTGAATTATTTAATGTTTTATGCTTTGATTAAATTTTTTGTTGGGGGTTGTTCTGGTTTTTGAGTTGCTTGGTGGTTCTTATCTTGTTTTCTGTGAATTTTGCTGATTTTGTTGTATGCTGTTTGATTATTTGGGTTTGATGTTAGAAGTGCCATTTTATGTATTTTTGGGGGAGGGGGAGGGGTTGACCATTTCGAGAGGGAAAACCCACCCCAAGATTCACCAAACAGCCCTCAAAACCTCGTTCTTCCCACGTGTCGCCTCTGCGCGCTTCTGACAGCTCCTGCAAGGCCCGGGACAGGTAGTCCAGCTGCTGATGGCACTGGCCGTCCGACAGCTTCAGGGCCTTGCGCGGAACTCAAAGAGGGGCCAACGGGGAATCATTCGCTGAGCTCGTTTGCATTTGCCCAGAACTGCTCAAAATAAAGCATGCGTCATCCAAAGCGAGGCCACTCTTCTGCCACCTGTTTCTGAATCAGGGAAGCTTACCCTTCCACTAACGTTAAGCCCGCCAAAGGTTCCCTCCGAGGAACTTTGTCTTCCAGCACCCAGTCCATGGTTGTGCCCTACCCAAAGAGCACATAGCCCAACTCAGGGATTCCCTTTTGAAAAGTGCTCCAAGTTATTGAATCGGACAGTTCCCAAGTAAGGCTGGAACATCCGCCCATCTGCAACGCAATCTGGCTTTTCCTGCATGTGGTTTTCAGATATCAGACCCTTTCAGCATGTTCACTGAGCGAGAAGGTCAGAAGTAGACTCCTGCCTCCATCTTGGTGGTCGTCTCGAGGGCTTGCTGCTCCAGCAGATCCTCACATGGCATGAGAAGAAACCAAATATATAAAAAAAAAAAAGCCCCCAGAAGAGGATTTTAGAACCTTCTTAGAAGGGGTTCTTGGCAGGGTTCTTGCGGGTACGGCCCCCCTAGTGTCTCTCATTAGTCTTACGGCTGCCCACTTCAGTCGACATGATTCAGTCGACATGACACCAGCCATTTGGAGAAGTTGTTCTATTTGGTTTGAGAGTTCGGCCATGACTCGATTTCTGCAGGTCTGGTTCGTTCTTGAGGAAGCAGAAGGCAAGGCTTTCTCCACAGCTCCACCCCTCTACCGCTCCAACCGCTCTCTAAGAGGACAACACTGGTCTCAGGGAACCCTTTGATTTTGAGTCACGAATCACGAATACGTTCTCAACGGCAAGTTGCGATGGCGGCTGTGTCACTGGGAGGAGATCGTGACTTTCCAAAAGCAGCTAAAAAGTCCAGGGTCGAACCCAACGGCGTGGAAACCCTCCCAAACCCTCCACGTGTGAACAGGCACTCCGATCGAATCAAGCAAACCCTTCCCCTAGCCACCCAAACCCTCCCCTCTGAGTACCCAAAACCCTCCAGCCAAATTCTCGTAAAGGCAGCAACAACCCTCCCACCACATCCCGCTACGTGCGGTGGAATCCAGAAATACTGCAAGTGAACCGACCACAAACATTCATAAAGATTGCCTGATGTTCCTTGCTCCCGAAACCCGCCCAAAAACCCCCAACAACTGCTCCAAACACCCCACAAAACTGCCCAAAAATCACCACCAGCCCTTGAGCTCTCGTCTATGTCTATGTCTTCCGGGCCTCTGGGGGCCTTTTTTTTTTCGGTTGCCCCCCTCCAAAAAAAGAAATACCTGTATATATATATATATATATGTGTGTGTATGTGTATATATATATATATATGTGTGTGTGTGTGTATGTATATAAATATATATATATATACAAAAAAGACACGGTGGCGCCCGCGCCTTCAGCTCGGCTGTGCGGGTCTCCAGCAGTTCCCGGCCCTGCTGCGCCTGCTCCGCCAGCTCCCGCGTCAGCAACTTGGCCTCGCCCAGGCCTGGCGTCAAGGCGCCGAGCAACCGGGGCGCGTCAGCCCGCCCCCCATGATGTTTGAAGAAGTGATGATTCACATAGGGGTGCAATTAGTTAAGTCTCTGTAGAACATCTAAAAGTAGAATTCACCCAAAAGCTGGTGCTGAACTGAAGCCCCTGGCATGGAAGAACAGGACAGCAGCAAGCCTTGATTGAATGGTGACCAAAATGTTTCAGTCACAATCCAAACCCGGTACTAAAACGGTCTGCCGGGTTCTGTACTGAAAGAAGACCTGGCCACAAGTGGATTTTCAATGAAAACCCGGTACTAAGATGGTAATCCCAGAACTTGGTTGGAGCAAAAATTGTTTTTTAGCAGTTAAGTGGGGATTTCCCACTAAACCACGATAATCAAAAATGTAAAATGTTGCCCAACAACAACTGTGAGAACCATGTAAGGAACTAAGAAGGCGGAGGCACCCAATCATTTTGCGGTGGGATCGTCCCTAACCTGCATCTACCCCGGTTTCTCTTTGCACGTGGCCCACATGTGCAAACCAACCGAAGGCGAAGGCGCGGCGCGGCTTCGCGCTCCTCTTCGGGCCAGAAAACGGCTTGGTCCGGTTCTTTCAGCTGGGAGAGGTCATCATTTTGTGCTTGCGTTTTATGTTGGAAGCCCGAAGTTGAAGATTCAGTGAATCAAAGGCTCCAGGGTTTAACTGGGTGTGCCTCTCGAAAGCTCTGAAGGTCTTGAAAGAGCTAGTCTTCAAAGGCTAAATGGTGGCAATCCGCCGACCAGTCCTGCTATCAGCATATACTCACACTCAGGGCTGGAGAATTGGGGGCTGGAGATTTGTTCGGTCCTGGCGACATTTTGCACCTCACCACTTTCGAACGCTAGCCCTCCCGGACCCCTAGCCCTCCAGCGCCCTGATTTTCCAATATTAGACCAGGCCGCCCCTCCCCGACACCCCAGCCCCGAACCAAGCCTGCTTTGAGCCCAAGAGCAGAGCGCTAGGGGGTCGGCGGCAGTCAGGCGTCAGCCTGGTAAATCCGGCTGCACCTCCTGGGGCAGCATGTCGCCGCTAGGCAATTTGCCTGCCAGCTTCAGCCACAGGGGCTGCACCCGTGTGCCGCCGACCCTCATCACTTGACGGCATTTGCGGCGTTTTGCAGAGCGAGGACCCAGCATCCCCGGCATGCCGGGCAGCGCTTGGCACCAAAATGCGCGAAAATGAGCCTTGCTTATATCCCTTCGGTACCTACTGCTCGTTCTGGGCCTCTGGCGCGCGCGCCGGCTGGGGCTGGCATTCCCGGCATCATCTGGGGTTGGAGTGGGCAACATGCATAACCTAACCAGCCATATCATGCGTTTCTCATACAAAAAACATGACATGACATGGCATAACTTCAAAGAGGCGTCGCCGGCTCGAGGCCGCAGGCCCAGAAAATTGGCTCTGAGTTAGGCACATATGTCGGTTGGAAACAGGGGGACAGCTTTCAAGTGCCTGCGTCCCACCGGTGCCTCCGCCAGTCGATCAAATCTCGCGCGCACGAGGACATGAGGTACATCTGGCCTTTTCAGCCCAGACCAAGAGAGACAACCCTCTGAAGAACTGAAGGCATCGCTGGGCGCTCGGAAAAATCGAACGAGTCGCCACCGGCCTTCAGATGACTGCACAGCCACAGCGCTGATGCGCTCCACCCGCGCATCCACACGTCGCAGCGCTTCCTCCAGCTGCCTCACTGGACAAAGCTTCGGGCTGGAGGTTCGGGGTGCCTTCCTCATTCATCCAGGTGTCTTCCTGTGTTCCCTCACGGCGAGTGTTGATCCGCATGAGTTGCTTCAAGCTGCATCGGCCATGATGTTTAAATCCCACCTCTGGGAAGTATCCCAAGAGCATCCAATTTGCCGGAGCTTGTCATAGGGGCGTGGGCCCTCTGGCCGGTTGGCTCAGAATTCCAAATCATTGTTGTTTGTGTCCAATTGGTGGAAGAGCAGAGGGGTAGAGGGGTCGACCAAAAAGGGCCCCAGAGCGATAATTCGCGACTCATGCGGATGAAGCGACGGTGGGCATCTTCCATTAAAACCACGGGGCACTGAAGGCGTCAACGCCCAGTCTTTGGTTCCATTTACCAGGGTGCCATTTTGGTACATCTTTTGAGCCACACCGCTGTGGGTCAAAAACGTTTTGGGATCCCATTTTGGTTGGCAGGTGAATTCACCACCCATTTTGGAACCTGTAGTGGTTGGATTGGGTCCCGTTCACTGGAGGCTAACCGATTTGGCGACCAGTGAGGTCTTGAAGCTAAGCTGGGCCTGTCGATGGACCGGCAGCCTTCCACTTCAGCGGCGATGCCTGCCGGAGCCGGAATCATGCACACATGCCATGCGCGACAAATGGTGGTTTCACTTCATGTTGATGGAAAAAGCCCTGGTTCAAATGGTTGCAAAATGTCTCTTGGTCTTTTGCAGCACCATCAGAAATTTGATCCATCGGCAAAACACAGAAACTCAGCCCAGCGGACTTGAGGGCAAAGGAAAAACACATATGTCTTTCACCCTACGTGCTGCTTCGGCTCAACGTCCTTTGGCAGCAACGAGTGCCCATTTGGCTTCAACTGGCGTTAAAACCCACGCACCACGAATCCAAACCACGAAACCTTGCAGCCAAGCCGGTGTCCCGAAGCTACCAAGCCCCAAACCTGCGAGCTACCTGATGTGTGGGTTGGCTTCCAAAAAACATCTTCTCAACAAGATGAAGAAAAAAGGGGCGCACCACCGGGCAACTGGCGCTTGGCAAACACCCCCCTAAAGTAGGGGTTTCATGTGTACTCTTGCTTGAAGAATTGCCACAAGAGATCAGAAACAAGGAAAAAAGAAGAAGAAGAAAAAGAAAGAAAAAAAACGCAAGCAACCGGAAATCGACATCTTGGGAACCCCCCAACACGCCGCCGCTTTCGACCCTCTCCCCCGTTCGCTCGCGCGCGCCTTGCCGTGCCTCCATCAGCCCCTCGCAGCTCCTCGTGAGCACCTGCCAAGGGGAATTCGAGCCAAGTGGGTGTGTCTTTTTTGGGTGGGGGGCATGGATCAAGTTAGGCGGTGCTTCCAACTTGGAAAGCTTTGGGAATTCGCGTCGAGCGGTTGTGTCCTTTTTGGGCGGACCCCCCAAGATGGTGGTGTTCCCTTTGGTGTCCCTTGAAAACCTACCAAAAGGGGCACCCTCAAAAGAAGACAGACCCAAGTTGCGCTCGAAAAATGCACTCAAAGCATGGTCTAGGTGCTCCAGTAGAGAGGCTAGAATAAGGGTACCAACTTCTTTCTGTAGTCTATTTTAGTAGGGGAGCCGAATCTCCCCCAAAAAAGAAACGGTAAAAGGGTACCGGGGGATCTAGTGGTGGCTCACGCATGCCCAATGCCTCCACCTGCTTCTGGCGCTCACAGTCCGCGGCCCGCAGCGCCTCTTCGAACGCGTTTCCCGAGCGATCGAAACATCCGGGAGACGCGCCGAAAACTTGAGGCTTTGGGGTGGAAATCAGGAATCCGTGAGAAAACCTTCCTGGGTGAGCCCATGTTTGGCAAACGCAGAAAGGGGCCAAATGGGCGACAAAGGTGGGGGCAACACGAACATGACACGGAAAATATATGTCATTTAAAGAAAAACACGGGTGACGATCCAACCCATGATCCACATCAAGCCATGAGAAGCCCTATGTTTCCAGGGCACGCCAGCCGCTTCGCTGTGATCTTTTTCGCTGTGAAACGGGCTCTTGACATGGAAAGTGGTGGATGGCATGGTCCGCAAAAAGGCTACGTGCCGCCTTTTGCAGCGCCGAAAAGGGGCCCCAAGTTCTCACAACTCCCAATCTGCCGGTGAAGTGATGGTGCCACCCTCATCCTCTCAAGAAGAATGGCACGGCTGCCCTCAAACGGTCTGGGGTGTGCCAAATGGTTACCCTCCCACCAACTAACATGGAAGTGCAAAAAGGCCCTTTCCAGGAAAAGTAGTCTTTCTACAGGGGTCTGTGCACTTCCATGTTAGCTGGTGGGAGGGTAGTGACTCCAGTCATAGCTGCTGGGAGGGTAGTAACTCCAGTCACACTTTACCAGCTCACCACTCGCTCCTGGTCCATCCAGGTACCATGCACAGCAGCACGAAATGGTAAGGTGACATGCCAGTTCCCGCAGCACGGAATTCTCTATATCTGCCCTCAAAACATCACCTCGCCAAGGGAAGCTCAATCTACATTGGCAACCAAAAGAAAATGCGAAAACAGCAACAACAAAAAACTCGTCTGTTGAGAGGAGATAGGGAGGTCCCTTGGCCCAGCTTGCCCTTCAAAACAAGGGGGGCCCTCAATACTCGCATGTCCCTTGCGAGCTAAACATTGAGAACCCGGTTCTCGGCTGGCAGTGTCAGGTCTCTCGGTGTTCCCAGAGCTCCCTTCAGCAGGGCAAGAGGGGCCCCTCTGGGTATAGTTCCTTCCGGATCAGCGAAGAACCCTATCAACCCGTGTCCCCCCCCCCCCGAAGCCTCCGGATCTTTCGAGCCCCAAGCGTGGGACAATTCGACCGTGATACCATGGTGCATATTTTAAGGGCCAACCTCAAAGTCACACCTCGCCCATCATATCGCAGATACCCTTGAGAATTGCAACCACGCAACTACCCAAATATGATACAAACAAAAATCGGGGGGGGGGGGGGGGTAGATTTGGGCAAACTGGGGCAGAGGGTGTTCTTTCCTTTGATTATTCTCTTTAAACTAAAAAAGGAGAAAACAAAAAATGTGTTTTAACAAAAAGGAAGTCTAAAAAAAAGAGGAGGAAAAAAAACCAGCTCACGCCGGTTCTTTTCCCGCCGCTTCGCACCTCCAGCTTGGACGAGGACTCGCGGGCGCACCGCTCCACCAGCTCCTAGGGCTGAGATCCCCTTTCGACCAAAATCGATCGGGGCCAACTTTTGGGTCATGACTCACTTGACAGATGAAGGAGTCCATCTTTTGGGTCATGACTCCTTTTTGGGTCCATCTTTTGGGTCATCTCACACAAAATGGATCAGTTTGACATGATGTCAACGGTAAACCGACGGGCTTCCTTCAGCTCTGTCCTGCCCTTCGACCTTCTTCCCGAACACCCAAGAAGAAAAAAAGCAGAACGATGAATCCGCCGAAAGAAATCCCCACGCGGCCATCCCCCCAAAAAAAACGCGGCAACGGGATCCCTCCCCCAAAGCCGGCGCCAAAAGCCGAATCCGATTCCCGACTCGCCTCCGACGGCCGAGAAAAACCGTCGTCCTTCGTCTCCGCGGTGCGGATCTCCAGGAGCTCGCGGAGCTGCAGCGCCGCCTTCTCCGCCAGCTCCCGCGCGAAGGCCTTGACCTCCGCCACGCCTGCTGGGGTCTGGTGGCGATCTGGTGGCGGTCTGGTGGCTGGGGGGGTGGCTGGGGGAGAGGGGTGCTCCAAAAAAACGCGGGGCGCAAGCCTTTTGCCTCGAAAAGTGGGAGAGAAACGTGCCTCAAAAAAGACTGGAAGCAGTGGTGCATCTCTTGCTTGCCCAATCCAAGGGCTCAAGGGCGCAAGGGCTCAAGGGGTTCTGCGCATCAGGGAATTCCTTGTGTGTGAAGCTCCTGTGGATATGGGCTCCTGTCCTGTTTTATCAGGCTTGTCGTTTTATCTCCTGAACGAACAAGCGGCTCCGTTGAAACCTGCGATGATCTGCAAGTCTTGCCATTCCAGAGCGAACCCGGGATCCCCAAGCAATGAGCCGACGTTTACACCTCGAGGCGAGCTTGCCATAAAGTAGCCACCACGATTCGCAGACCTGCCAGTCCAACCAGCTGCAAAACTCCAACCTATCCACAAAATACAACAAACAACCCCCAAACCAAACCAGCTGTTTAAACAAAAAAAAAAAGAAACAAAGACTGGTCCCCCCCCAACAAGTCCCAGCTGCCCCCGGTCCTTGCCTCAACCCCGCCCCTTCGCCCAAACCCGGCGCTCGGCTTCCGAGCGGACCGCTCCGCGCCTTGGGAGGCGAGCGCCGCCTGCGCGGAGCTGGACTCCAGGCGCGCGTCCATGCGCCGCAGGGCGTCCTCCAGCTGCCTGGCGCCGAAGCCGAAGCCGCCCCGGCGGCCACCGGCGGCAACCGGCGGCGTCTTGACCCAAACGGTATGACTTGGTCTTTGCAGCCCCCTTAAAAATGAAGAGAATCAAAGAAACCAAAAAGAAAAAAACACTTGGCGTGGCAAAACACTGTCCTTCGGTCCTTTTTGTTTGCAGATCCCTGAAAAATGAATGAAGTGAACCGAAGAAATTAAAAACATGCCAACAACAGCGCAGGGTTTACTCTCCCAGTTGCTCTAATTACTCTTGGAAATGGACGATCGCTACCATCTGAATGCCTCTCCAATTTGATTGGAACAACGGCCAAAACAACCGAAAAGTCAAAGAAGCTTGAAGGAGAGCAAGGGCTTGAATTAAGAGGAGATACAGCAGGCCAAGTTCGGGCCACATGCTGGGTCGATAGGGAACGAATTGGAACTCCAAGCTAGGCAATCCAAGTGGCGGTGTCTTCCAGCAAGTCTTTCGCCTCTGGTTGCAAGCTTCAAATCTGCAGTGGAAGTAATTACCGGTCGATTCCTTGGACATGCCGGCTCCCTCTCTCATGACGAGATTCTTTCCTTCGGAAGCATTTTCCGGGAACCCGGCGGGCTTTCTGGAGCCCAGTAGATGAATTAGCAGGCACGTTCTTGCCAAACCCCTCCCGCCAGGTTGGACGGGCCCATCGGGCTAGAGTGCACTCCACGACTTTCTGGTGCAATGGCCACTCGGGCTCGTGCAAGTGTTGCGCATGTCTTGCTGGAGAAATCTGTATGCCTCAACCTCAATTTAGGAATCTTTCAGGGACCTCAAGCTGAACCCTCGTTGGGCGCGCTTGTGAGTGCAGACAAATGCAATCTCGCCCGGTCCTGTCGGCAGATCTGCAGCCATCAACTTCGGCAAACAATCCTGACGCACGCTCTCTCTTGCCACACAGCCGAATGGGCGGCTGCAGATCTGGAGACACACAAATTGGTTGCGTCTGGAACAGTGGCTCGAAGCCCGGGCCGATCTGAGACTCCACCAAAGCACCCTGCTACGACTCTGGCAAGTCGAATTTTAGCGGGGCTCCAAGAAAGGGGCACCCTGCACGTGCCTGAAGAAAAAGAAGAAGAAAAAAACGAAGAAGAAAAAACCCGCCACTCTGCAGCACATCTACTACTAGGTCCTTCAGTAGAGAGGTTAGAATAAGGGTGCCCTTTTTGTCTGTAGTCTATTTTAGTAGGGGAACCCTCCCCAAAAACAAGGGTAAAAGGGCACTACTGGGGGACCTAGACCAGAATCAAGGAATTCCAAAGGTAAGGGGCCTCGAATCAAAGTGCTGGACATGCCCCCAATCCAACGCGCTTGCATCCCGCCTTGCCGCGCTTCCGTCAGCTCCTGCGAGTCAACCATTCTGTTTAATGTGCACCGTTCTTCATGGTTTCCCTTCTGTGACAGAAAATGGTTGTGGCTCAAACATAGGTACCCATGGCTTTTCCTGGTAAGTGAAACCAAAGACGAAAACCTGCGGATTTCTATGGCTTGCCCTGGAAAATGGAACCCAAGACCAAAACCTGGGCCCCCTCATTTCTGACCCAGTCCTTTCCGTGGTGTCCCCAACCCGACTCGTTTTGGATGGGTGGATGGGTGGATGGGTGGATGGGTGGATGGGTGGATGGGTGGATGGGTGGATGGGTGGATGGGTGGATGGGTGGATGGGTGGATGGGTGGATGGACAGTTGGATGGATCGTCGAGTCGTCACTCACCTGGCAGGTCTTGCTCAGCTGCTCCAGCTGCGCGCTCTGCTGCACGCCAAGGCCCCGCAGCGCCTGGAAACGTCTCAACGAGCGGAGACTACGCGCACGCTACGCCAACAGAAGCTTGGCCAATTTGTGGGATGTGTCCAATTTCTTGGAGTTGGTACCCCTTGGCTGTGGGTGTCTCTTTTGTTTTAAGGGAAACCACGAGAAAAGCCAGACTCTTCTTTTGGGGATGTCTGAAAAAAGACAAACCCGGAATGGTTCGCCACCCTTTCCTGGTGGGGTGGGGTTGACTTCCTCGCAGGTCCATGGAGCAATTGTTGACCAACCAAACCATGGCTAGCCTCTCCCTGTTTCCCTTGTTCCTTCAACTCCCACCGTTTCCCAACCCCGCTGAGCGGAAAAGGCCAACCAGACCTGAATCTCTGAGGATCGGCACGTCTCCGCACACCTACACGCCAAGGAGACAAACTCCAATGTGAACAAGTCCCAAGGACTTCGAGTTTGCCTTTCGCACCAAGTTTAGGCTTCAAGTTGGGACGCCAGTTTGGAATGCTTCGCCTTCACCTACCCGTTGGAAGTGCCTCGGCACCTATCTAGGGTGAGGACCCCCTTGTCGTCCCCCTTGATATTGACCCCTGGCCGATCCCCCATTATTTAGATGACTTTAGAAGATAGAATGACTACAACTGGAACGATTGGGGACAGTCCCCTTACCGCCCAGAATAGCAAAATGCCCCATGGGAAATCCCGCACCACTGTGAAACAAAAGTCCTGCACCACTTGGAAACCATGGTTCAAACCATAGCATTCGTTGGTATTTACCAGAGAATCATCAGACACCAGGGTTTCTGAACGGTGCTGCGAAATGGATGAAACCATTGTTTGTTGGCATTTACATGGGGAAACATTCAGGGTTTCTTGGGTGCTGCGAAATGAATTTCGCAACCCTCCACAGCATCACTTCCTGCACGAAGTCTTCCCCCCACAACGACAAAGGTGAGCCAGGAGAGGTAACTACCGCCCCCCATCAAGCAAGGGGGTACCACCTCCAAAAAAAACACAAGCGGCTTCCCTGAAGCAAAGCGACCCGCCGATCGGCTCGCCTCCACCTCCGAGGCCTCGCAACATCTCTCCAGCAGCTCCTCTCGGCGGAACGGCGGCTTTGGTCGCACGCCCAAGCCCCACGTACGGTGCCGCCCTGTAAACCCCTTGCAAAGACCACGGAAAAACCCAAACCCCTTGCAAGCCTCTTTTGCAAACCATTCCAACCGTAGATACTTAGTGAAGCCCCACCCATTCAAGCGCAGCAGCTCATGTTTCAGCTGAAGAGACTTGGGCCCAAGGCAGCACATCACCCCTGGCAAGGCCCTGGTTTAGGACAGTTGGCACCCACGCCCAAATGGCGTGGTTCCTTCGCCATCTGGCTATCTCAAACGCGGCTTCCGCCAGAGCGAAGCCGAAGCCTGCTGGGGCCATATCCTCATCCTGTCTTGGGACAAAGTCATCTGCAGATGGACCCGGAACAACAACACCAGCCATTTTTGAGATATGACTCGTTCCACATGATTTTCTCCACCCCAGCCACCAAAAAGCCCGCCAGAAAACCCACGAAACCCACCCTCCCGCGCTCAAAACTCCGGACCGGAGGTCGACCAAAATCCGCGCGCCTCGTTCCTCTGCAGCTTCCGCGCGAGCTGAGCGACGGCCTCGCTTTGGGCCTTCGACTCCTCCGAAGGCGTGGCCTCCCTTGCCAGGCGAACAGCCGTGCCTACTGTGGATGGACGAAATCCATTCGCAACACGAAAGAAACCTTAGAGAATGATGAGGTTCTCTGGTAGATACCAACAAACGTTATGGTTTCAACCATGGGTTCATTTCGTGGTGCAGGATTTCGTCCATCCACAGTATGACTTCCAAGAGATGGCCCAATTCCAGAGCCCTTTCTGGGTTGCTCTCCCACCAATTCTCATGGAACCTGGTTCCCTTTAGGAGAATGGTCTAATCAGGACCGATTCCCCGAACGCGAAAGGTCCGGCTGTTCATTGACAAAGCTCCCGGAGGCGATACGTAGCTTCGAATCGAACGAAGCCCTTAAGCATTGGTGACCCAGAGGCCAACTGGAGGAGCTGTTTGTCCGAGGGAGTGTAACCGAAAACCCCGAATCAAAGGATCCTGGACAATGACTTCTTCGCCGGTCAATGTTCATTCCCCAGGTCAGCAACGCCGCCTTTTTGTGAGTTGTGGATTGGTGAGGGTACCCAGTGTCATCCCCTTGGCTACAGTAGATGATTTGCACAAACCTGGAATAAAGAATCCCCACGCAAGACGCCCCCATCATGCCCTGTCTGGACGTGTCTTTCAATAAACCCTGTCTAAACAATCGCTAAAATAGTGGCTCGAAACCGGAAAGGTACCCCCCCCCCCTCACCCCCCCACCTCCCACCCCGTAATCTGCAAAAAAGCCTTGCGAAAAGTTTCCCCAAATCCGCGATTCAAATGCCTGAAATGGGGCAGGCACGCTTTGTCTGCATCAACCAGGGCGTATTGCTTCTGGGTCAACATCAGGTGAAAATCTGGTCTTGATTGCAAGAGAAGCACGAGGAGGAGAAGGAGGAGAGGGAGGAGGAGAGGGAGGAGGAGAGGTAGGAGGAGAGGGAGGAAGGATGGGGAGGAGGAGAGGGAGGAGGGACGAGGGAGGAGGAGAGGGAGGAGGGACGAGGGAGGAGGAAGGGGAGGAGGAGAGGGAGGAGGAAGAGGAGGAGAGGGAGGAGGGACGAGGGAGGAGGAAGAGGAGGAGGAGGGGAGGAGGAGGGGAGGTTGGATGTTCTGCGAGTGAAACCGCAGAGCCACCCCAACCCTCAATCCGCATCTTCCACCCCTCAATGGTCCTGCGTCACGCTTGCCTCCATCTTCTCCCGGAACCGCGCCAGGTGCTCCTGCAAGGATGCCTGCGGGCAGCGGGGCTGAAAGCCATGCGAGGACCATAGTCAAACGCACTTGAACCAAGGACGCCGCCCTTGGAATACCGCTTGTTCTCCAGGACCCCCAAGATGCGGACTGGTTTCCAGAGGCCATGGACCCCGAAATGGGTGGGTTTTCCCTTGGATTCACCCTGCAAAATCTCCAGTTCGCGTCTCTTCGCGTATGATGTTCGGTTGCCTTTTTTGGGCCTCCAGGTGGCCCTGCGCCGCTGCCAGCTGTGCCGCCTGCTGTCGGCCTGGCCCAAGGCCAGTCCAAACCACGCAGACAGATCCCAGAAGAAAAGGAATCAGCTTCCCTCTAATTCTAGGTCCAGTAGAGAGGTTAGAATAAGGCTACCAACTCTTTGGTGGTTTGGATTGGTGGTTTGGTGGTTCGGGAGGGTGTCCCATTTACCCTCTACATAAGCCAAAGACTCCAATCCCCAAAATTACCGATCCAGACCAACAAGTAGGGTGTACCTGAAGGTAGTCGAAAACCCCATGAAAAATAAGGAAAAGGCAAAGACGGGGAAAGGAAAACAAGCGCAAAACGAGAGCGTCGCCTCCCATCAAAAGAACCGTCCCGAACTTTGCTGCTTCACTCCTCGCCCCGGGAAAAGGCGGAAGCAGCAAAAACACAACAAGCAAATAAGAAACAATCAATAATAATATAATATAAAAACAGAAAGAACAAACAAACTGACAGACCAAAACAAAGAAATGACCACAAAAGCAACACGGACAAACCGCCAACCAGCCAACCAACACAAGCAAAAGCACGGGGAACCTGCACGTGCGCTCACCGCCCGAAGGCGCAAAGGCGCACGTGTGCGCGCCTGCTGCCGCCTCCAGTGCCACCGACTCCAGGCGCTGGTTGGTCTCCTGGGCACGCTCCTGGAGACCTGGCCCGGCCGCTCGGTTCCACTCAGACTGTCAGATGGCTTCCGGCGGAGCCCGGTCTCCCCCCCCGCAAACCCCAAAACCCCCAAACCCCCAAAACCCCGAAAACCCCCAAAACCCCCCAAACAAACAAAAAAGCTCCCCGGCGCCCAAAAAAAAACACACACACACACACACACACAGAGTGGCCATGTTGGAAGTCCTCAAAAAGGTCAAAAAGCCCTGCAAGGAGGTTACAACCCCCACCCCTTTCTCCCCCCGCCTTTGACACGCGCGGATTCGGTGCGGGTCACTTCTGCCAGGTCCTCGAGCTGGGCGTGCCTGGGTACGTGACAGCCACCTGAGGGTATTTCCCCTCAAAACATCACCCAAGCCAAGGGGCACGCACCTTTCACGGGCCAAGGTGATGTTTAAAACCACCCATCTCTTTCTTCGGACTGCCCCCCACGTATGTTTAAAACCACCAAGAAGTTGGAACTATAGGGACTGCCAAAGGCCCCAAACCCATGGACCAAATTTCCACGCCGATCGGCACCTGCTCAGTTGGCCTTATCGGGCTTCATAAAAAAGCAAAAACCACCAACTGATGCGAAGCAAGCCGGTTTTGTCCATGCAGAAGGAACCTTCTGAACTGAAGGGTTGACAGGCTGACAGGTGGTTGCAGGGAATAACTCCCAAGGCTCTGAAGGAACGGCTCTGAGGATTTCTCTGTGGGGTAGGGGCTCATTTTGAGGCATGCTCACGTAGCTGCTTCGTCCGGAATGACCACATGCACCACCAGTTGGAAGTTATAACTCATCAACATGGCCGAGTCTGGAATCTTTTGCTTCTGACAAACTGGGCAAGCATGAGTCGCCTACCCAGGACATGCTACAATTCGCCCCAACGAAGGTCAGTTTAACATACCTATCGTGGAAGATACCCAAACATACAAGGGATGGTTAGAGCCACCCTGGTTTGGTGCGTGACCATCCTCGAAAACCTGCACTTGGGGGACTGGTGCTACATAGGGGGTCTGGAAAATAAAAGCATATCCCTTCCGTTTTGATTTTGTTGACCGGAAATTGACAATTATGTCCTATCAACCACCCAAATGAGCTTCTTCTTGGGAGTAGCCAGCACGATGGAGGCATCGACTTGTCGACCGCCACGGGCACTGCTAGGCAAGATACGCCTCGCCGCGCAGCGTGCGCCACTGCGCCTGCTCAAAACTGAAAACGCCGCGCGCGCGAAGTCCCTCCCAAAGGCCCTGGACCAAAAGCAGCGGAAAAAGCACAAGAGGTTGATTCGCCCGGGGACCAACCAAAAAAAAAAGTCCAGATGTTGATTCGCCTGCGAACACTTTGGGCACCATGACCCGTTTCTGCTTCTCGGGGTCTGAGCGGCTGGAGCTTGCAGTTTGAGGGCCTGGGATCGAATGGTTTGACCATGCGTCCACGCCGGCTCGCCACTAGCCATTCGCTCCAAGGAAGGGGTACCACGGTCAAAAAGTGGAGAGCCTGACAGCCACCAGATCCCAAGACCTCTCCGCCCTCCCGTGATGAGGATTCCTTTCAGAACGGTCCTGGACTATGCTCAAGTGTGGAGCCAGAACAGTCCATCGCACAGAGTTGGGCGTGGCTCTTTTGTGAGGCTACCCCTTGTCGTTTTCTGGCAGCTTCAAAGGAAAACGGAAAAGGAAAGCCAAAGCCAATTTCGGGGGGTCCCCTGAAAACAGACCCCAAGACCAAGTTATGAGGGTACCCCTCGAGCAATTTGGGGGGTTCCCGGAACACGAGGCAAGCCCATTTCAAGCCACAAGCCAAGCAGAGGCCTCCGCCTTCCGCTCTGCCTCGCGCGAGGCATCCAGACCTCAGCCGCTCGAGACCTCGAGCCGGGTGTTGCCATGCCATGCCCCGCCAGATATTAGCTGTTGCTTATGTGATTTCCGGAGTAAATACTCCCATTTTAGTCAGGAGTTGATATAATCGGAGAACTGCCAAAATGGACATGGTTTTTCGGTTTGTTTCGAATATCCTCCAGAAAAGGCACAAACAAACCTGTGCTGTTCACCAATGAATTAAGTGGACCCTTGTAGGCAAACCCCAGCCATGGAATAAAGTCTAAGGCGACCCTTCCCATATAGCATCTATTAGTAGCCGGCATTCCAAGGGTGGCTTCAGGACCCAAAACTCCATGTGACCCGTTTCACCCATTGACTTCTGAATCAAAACCAACATGGCTATAAAGGTTCATGGTGCTTAAGCTGTCAGAACTGCATAAGCCCGATTAACCTACTCAAAACGGAATCGGCTTGGGCGCCGGTGGAAAGCAGTTACATTGACCCTGGATTAACACTCTCCTGATTGATTGGTAGTAGGGGGCTTCCAACCCATTCGAGAAGGGATCGGATCATCTTGGGGGATGTGCATCTCCCCATTCATCCGGCCGATTTATTCAGCCAGGGATAACAACGATGGGCTTGATAGTCGAATACATTGGTGCAATTAAACCGCTTGGATGATTGATTCCTTCCAACAGTACCTTCCGCGCCCCAAACCGGAGGTAGGCGTGCCCCAGATTTTCCCTTGGACACCCCCAATCAATGTCGACCCCAGCTTCGGCCACGCACGCTCGCCCTGTTCTCAGGGCGCCCGCGTTTGGAAAGATCCTGCACTTCGCCCTTGAGGCCCTGCCGGATGGGGTGTGGCAGTGGTCCAACTTCGCAAAGTGCGGGCCACGGCGGCTACAGGATGTTGAGGAAATCGGGCGAAACCCATGGGTTTTGGCGGGTCCCTGCTATTTGGCGAACACCCGGAGCGTTTATTTTGGCTGGTTTCTATGGCGATCGAAACCGATGAAAGAAACCCGAAGGCTTCATGGCCCCGACACCAAGTCAAGTGTCAAATGTCGGTCGACTGGCTGCTTCATGTGGGTGACAATAAACAAACTTTCTTGGGTGGATGGGACACGTGTGGGTGGCAAACCTCCAACAAAGGCAACGCCTTGCTCCAGAGATACAGGCGTACCTGCAAAGTAACAGATCCAAAGCCACATGGAACCAAGAAAGGCCCCTTGCACCAACTATTCCATACCTGCAAAAGGTTCAAACTTCACTTGCCATAAGACAACACAAACAAGAAGAAAAGCCCCGAAAACAGACTCCAGTTGCAGAAGTCCAAACCACCAAAAGGTTCAGCTCCAAACCACCAAAAGCCACCCACCCCCCGGCGGGGAAGAAAGCTTCGGTGCCTCGAAGCGCGAGAGCGACTCCTCCTCCACGCTGGTCATGTTCTCCCCAAGCCTCGCGCACGCGAAACACGCGGATCACGCGGATGGCTGCGCAAGATCCATCTCAGGCACCATTCAGAAACCTTGGAAATGATTCGATCCCACTGCAAATACCAACAAAACCAATGGTTTTCCTCACTGTGGATGGTTGCGAAGTCCCGTCTTTAAGGCGCCAGGGCGTGAGGAAAAGCCCCGCCATTCCAGCAACGCCCGAGTCTGAGGGGCGCGCTTGTGGTTGAGCTCCGCCATCTTCTTCAGGAGCTCCTGAGATGAGAAGTGCTCAGAGACATGGCTCGTCATTGAATTGTCAAATTTTTCATAGATGTGGCCATGGGTCAAAAGCCAAATCGTACCTCCAAATCCCCACTAAAATCGGTTCTAAAAAGGGTGGTGAATTCACCTACCCCAAAATGGTACCATTGGTTTTGACCCACAGCCATGTAGATGCACCCAACATTTCTGGCCGATCTTGCAAAGCTGAGGTGGCCGGGAAAATATCTTTCTGTGTTGAGGCTTCGCTTGCGTCAAATGCACAGGAAATGGGGCAGGGTCCTAAACTAGGGATGGCCCGCCCGTATTGAGACACACCAAACACCAAGATTGCAGAAAAAGACCGCAGCTTCCCCCCCCCCAAAAAAAAAGGAGGAAGGACGGATCAACCCTTCCACAACCCTCCCAGAACCCAGCTGTTGGAGACCAAAAAACTAAGCTGCTGGCAAGTCCTGCAGAAGTTTCGCCCGGAGACCTACCGTGGATGGTTGCGAACTCCATTTCGCACCTCAGAGACCCTGGAATTTCAGAGGATTCCCCAACGTACATACCTACAAACAACGGTTTCAACCATGGTTTCTGATTCGATTCCCCAACGTAAATACCAAAAGTGATAGTTTCAACATGGAAACCCCAAGCGGGATTCCCCAACGTAAATAACAACAAAGGTTATAGTTTCAACCATGGTTTCCAAGTGGGATTCCCCAACGTAAATACCAACAAAGGCTATCATTTCAACCATGCAAACCCCAAGTGGGATTCCCCAACCTAAATACCAACAAAGGTTCTAGTTTCAACCCTGGAAACCCCAAGCGGGATTCCCCTACGTAAATACCAACAAAAGTTCTAGTTTCAACCATGGTTTCCAAGTAGGATTCCCCAACCTAAATACCAACAAAGGTTCTAGTTTCAACCATGGCTTCCAAGTGGGATTCCCCAACCTAAATACCAAAGGTTATAATTTCAACCATGGTTTCCAAGTGGGATTCCCCTGTACATACCAACAAAGGTTCTGGTTTCAACCATGGAAACCCCCAGTGGCGCGGCTTTTGTGGATCTCATCCACAGCCAGAGCACGATGACTCGCTCGCGCGCTCTCGCTCGGGTCCTCCGCCACCGCCTTGCTCTGGCGCTTGGAGCTGGCTGCGGACTCCGAGATCCTGGGCTCCGAAATCCGCGGCGTTGGACTCTGCGCTCGGACTCGTTTTTTTTCTCCTCTTTTTTTTCCGGTTGGCCCTCCAGTAAAAAGACTAGAATAAGGGTACCCGATTGCTCTTTTTTTTTCCTGGGCCCTTTTTAACTAGGCCCTCCAGATTTGAGAGGTTGGAAGAAGGGTACCCACTCTTTTTCTGCAGTCTGTTTTAGTAGGGGAACCGAATCTCCCCCAAAAAAGGGGGAAAAGGGCACTGCTGGGGGACCTGGCTAAGGTTGGACCCCCCCAAGAAAATGGGGTCCAGGTATTCCTTTTGCTTTTTCTGCACAAACCCTCCAAAGAAGGAGGGGACCCTCAAAAAGGACACGGCCATCTACACGCTGGGGTGGAGTCGAGTGCATGACAACCTTGATCCAAGCAAGGTTGATCAAACTATGTCTTGTTTGGGAAACCAACCACTGTGTGATCGGAGAGAGTTGCCTGGAGGGTTCATTGTTGGATGTTCCAAAAAGACTTGGTACACTCGTCTTAACCGTGTTTTTTGCCGACAGAACTGGGGTTAGGTTGCTTATCGCCATATGGCTAAAACTCAGCTACTAAGTAGGACGAACAGCCAAGTGGAGGCCAAGATCCGCAAGGCTTTCAAGGACCCCTGAGAAGAATCCCCCTTCCCCCACCGGGAACCCGCCCCCATGGTTCCACTGGGGACCAGTTAATTATTCATCAGGGCTCAACAATCGGCTCACTTGCCCAGAGGACCTGGAAACAGAAGGTGAACCAGTTTTGGAGTGGCGAAATATGGATTGGATCAGGGAAACCAAAACTGGGCTGTCCTCAAATCCCCCGCTAAAAATTTAACTTTTAGTGGGTCAAATGGAAATCTCCACTAAACACTAAAACGCTGAAAGGCGTTTCGGGGATGGCTGGGAGCTACCAAGAAAAGGCAAGTTGGCTTTGGGCAAGTCAAGGCGGTTCCCTTCGTGAGACCTGAGGCCTCACTGGGGGTTGATCCATGGCCCTTTTCGTCGCCTGGACGGTCCCTCCGGCAACGGACGGATTCGCAAGGGGGTCAATGGCGCAAGCTTTGGGTGTCTCCTTTGAACACCATCCAAAAAGGGGGAATTGGGTGTCCCCATGTCTAAAATCCCCCTTGAAATTTCGGGGGTCAGCTTGGCACACCCCTTCTATTAATTTTATATATATTTAAAAAGAACAATATAAAAGCAAATATTTAAATAAATAGTGAACAAAAAAAGAGGAAAAAAAAGAAAAACAGCTCCAGGGGCCGGCGACTCGTTGCCAAGTCGCAGCTCCTCCGCCGCGCGGAGCACCTGACGCGCGTTTTCTCCGAGGAAATCGATCTCCGAGATGTCAACATCCAAATCCAAGTAGAAAACTCCAAGTGGAGAAAAATGAAAAAAATGGAAAAATGGAAATCAATCAAGTGGAAAAAATGGAAACACTGCGCGTTTCTGTCAAAATCCAAATTTGGAGAAATATCCCGAAAGTGAGACCCTCACTCCCACGGTGCCATGGCACCTGACAGAGGGTTGCTTGAAAAGGAAATTCATCTTCCGGGTACCCTCCAGCAAATGCTATGTTTGTGGGAAGGGTATCCGAATCAGAAAGAGAAGCTCCGGCGTAGGAGCATGGTCCAAATTACCTGTGTCCCTCTAAAGAACGTTGGACAATTGGTGAGCCCCCTAAAAACAGATCAAAAGAGGACTCCGTGTTAATACTCACAAGCCCTCTCTTTGGAGTAACCTGCACCCCCAAACACAATCACGCCTGGAACCCTGGAACCCGCCAAATCTGACAATTCAAAAGTGACAACCTCTATCAGCTAGCTGTCTGAGTCCTGATAAGTGCGACAGCCCCCCAAAGACGTGCGGTTTCCCGTCGGCAACAGAGAGTATTGAACCTGGCCCGGACCCTCAAAGAAAAGACATGCCTTTAAGCCTGTATCCATATCTTTATCTGCTGGATTGACGGAAACTTGCTCTTGCCACCCTCCCACCAACAGGGAAGAACACAGGCCTCTTTCCAAGAGCGGACACTAGTCTTCCAAGACCAAGGCCATGTCTTCAACCTCCCCCAAGTTTGACCAACCAAAAAAGAGCAGTTCTCAGAGAGGGAAAAAGAAGAAGAAAAAACGAACCTGCAAAAAAACAAAAACTGAACCCCCTCCTCCCAACCCAAAAAAAATAAAAAGAAAAAACAACTCCCAAACACCCCCCCCCCCACCCCCCCACCCTCCCACCCCCACCCATCCCCAACCCCAAACAAAAAAGCACACACACACACACACACACCCCACCCACCCACCCACCCACCCACCCACCCACCCACCCACCCACCCACCCACCCACCCACCCACCCACCCACCCACCCCACCCACCCCACCCCCCAAAACCCCCGTCACCCCCCAGACCCCAAACCGTGGACTTTTGGCCCCGCCTCCCGCTGCTGGTCCTCGAAGCCTTGGGCCATCTCCTGGAGCTTCGCGGACACCCGGCCCCGCAGCCCTGCGCTCAAGCGGCAAGCGCTGGGCGCGCTGGGCGCAAGCGAAGGCCAGCCCCGCAGGCCCCCAAGCCCCCGAGCCCCGAAGGCCCCCAACCCCCCCCCCCGCTCCCCCGGAGGCTCCCAAAGGCCTTTTTCAGGGGTTGGATGGGAAAGATCCAGGGGCATGTCAGACACCTCAGGTGGGGATTGGGGATGGGAAAGGGAAAGCTCCACAAAACCTCAGAAGCCTCAGATCACGGGTGGGGGCTGGTGGTGATGGAAACGGGAAAACCGCAAGAGACAAAAAAGAAAAACATGGGTGGCAACCAATGACTTGCCGGGAGAAAAATTGTGCTTTGGGGGTTGGGGTGGATGGGGTGCCAGCTTGTTTGGGACCCGTGTGGCATACGGGACCAAATGTGTTTCCAATAGGGTAGTCGTAACAAAGCAGTTGGGACCTCCTTTTTGGTGAAGGGAAACAAGCAAACTGGCCAAAATCAGGGGGTTCAGAATTTTCAGCTGCTATTGTCTTCTTCTTGGTCCTTTTTCACTCTTGCAAAGGATGTCAGAAGTTCTCGGGGCAACATGCTGATCACGGGACTGCCTGGAGCTGTCTTTGTTTACAGGCGGAGTCTTTAACTTCACAGCTCTCTCTCTCTCTCTCTACAATGCAGCTCGATGCTACCCTACTACCCTCACATGGGGTCTTCCAAAGGGAAACCAAAGGACACTCGTCACTCACCTGCCCTTGAAAGCTTGGTTCCAGAGTCTCGCAACAACCCAACATGAGACAGTGCACCCCTGTCACAAAAACACGACAACCCCAAACTGACCCAAGAATGAGCCTCAAAAACCAAAAAAGCAACTGATAATTCTGGCTTCACAAGGAATCCAAAAGGTTTTGAGAGAACTCTGAGAACCGCCCCCCCCCAACAAAAAAAGAAAACGGAAGGCAACTGACAATTGTGGTTCTCAAAGGAAACAAAAAGGAAAACCGCCCTGTTTGAGAGGTCCAACCCCCCCAAAAACAAAAAACGACCCAACCGATCATTGCTGGACGGGTGGCCACCTCCCAGCCCTTCGCCGGCCTTCCATCGACTGCTGGCTGGTCTCCAAGGCATTCTTGAGGTCGCCCACACGGGACATGGTCTCCTCGCGAGATTCGAACACGTCCTTTGGGACATGGCCGTGGTGCTCAGAAAGTTGGGCCTCCAAAAAAAATAGGGCCCCACATGGAAGGGCACAGACCTGCGGTTTGCTGCTGGTTTCATTTTGATACCGTCGAAAGGGTATGGCTGTGGTGGTCAAAAATTGGGCCAAATGGCGTGTCCTGGAAAATGGAACCAAGGACACAAACCTGCGGAATCAGCGGGTGGTTTCATTTTGACCCATACCCGCACGGCGAAGTTCGTTGAAATGTGGCTCCCATGTCCTCACCAAGCTGCGAACTCGAAATCATACTGTCGGTGACGCGCTGCTTGGTGGATAGTCTGTGGTACCAAAGTGAAATTCTCCCCCCCGTCCTCCCCGCGGTGAATACGCTTTTTGTCCGGGGTTCCCCAAAACCTGCTTGGATGTCCAACCCGATAAGAGTGCTGAACGCAGGCATCCCAGTACTGACCACTTGCGGGATTGAGCATCCCGAGATTGTAAACCTCACCTTTCGACAAAGAGACTGCAACCTGGATGAGCAAAAGGTGATGCTCCAACTAGGCCCATGAGGGAACTGCACCGCGTGCAGCACCAAAGAACCAAAAGTGCCTCGGGCAGTTCTGGCTCTCCGGCACCTATGCTTCAAGAGGGTGGAAGCCCCCAATTCTGACAAATGCATCCTTACTTGCCCAGTCGCGCCAAGGTTACTTGTTTTCAACAAAAAAGCTGTAAAGGGAACTGCAGCAAGCAATTGACGTTGTCAAAGGCAAGCATCTACAGGGGCCCCCCTTTTCTGCTCAGCTTGGCAAATGCAAGATTTGTGTTTGTTTCAAACGTACTTCCGGAGCGCTTCTGCCACATGGTCTCCCCAAAAAGTGGCTAAAGCCAAGAAAGTCGCGCAGTGAGAAAACGAATCCTACTGCACATGGCAGCAGAACTAACAAACAGGTTTTAAAAGAGGTGTCACTCATCGATCGCCCACCACCCACCCATCCAACCAACCACCCACCCACCCAACCACCCATTCACCCACCCACCCACCCAACCAACCAACCAACCCACCAACCGACTAAAGCGACTAACCTACCAACCGGTCGGCCAACCGACCAACCGACCAACCGACCAACCGACCAACCGACCAACCGACCAACCGACCAACCGACCAACCGACCAACCGACCAACCGACCAACCGACCAACCGACCAACCGACCAACCGACCAACCGACCAACCGACCAACCGACGACCAACCGACCCAACCGACGACCAACCGACCAACCGACCCAACCGACGACCAACCGACCAACCGACCAACCGACCAACCGACCAACCGACCAACCGACCAACCGACCAACCGACCAACCGACCAACCGACCAACCGACCAACCGACCAACCGACCAACCGACCAACCGACCAACCGACCAACCGACCAACCGACCAACCGACGACCAACCGACGACCAACCGACAACCGACCAACCGACGACCAACCGACCCAACCGACCAACCGACCAACCGACCAACCGGACCAACCGACCAACCGACCAAACCGACCAACCGACCAACCGACCAACCGACCAACCGACCAACCGGAGACCAACCGACCAACCGACCAACCGACCAACCGACCAACCGACCAACCGACCAACCGACCAACCGACCAACCGACCAACCGACCAACCGACCAACCGACCAACCGACCAACCGACCAACCGACCAACCGACCAACCGACCAACCGACCAACCGACCAACCGACCAACCGAACCGACCAACCGACCAACCGACCACCAACCGACCACCGACCAACCGACCAACCGACCAACCGACCAACCGACCAACCGACCAACCGACCAACCGACCAACCGACCAACCGACCAACCGACCAACCGACCAACCGACCAACCGACCAACCGACCAACCGACCAACCGACCAACCGACCAACCGACCAGCACAAGTTGTTTTGAAGGGGCTTGGGTCCCGGCCCATCTCCCCCAACCTCGCCCATCTCTCCTCCTGGTGTTGGCTCAGCTGCTGCAGGCGCCGCTGGAACTTTTCCAGCTCTTCATGAGGATCCTCCAGGGCGTGTGGGAAAAGGAGGCGGAAACCCACCACGAAGCGACGAACTGCTTGATGAAACTGTGGATGGTGGCGCGGTTTCCATTTCGCAGCTGAGAAACTCTGGGGCAAATACCAACAAACAATGGTTTCCGCATGGCCTCAAAGTGGGGCAGGATTTGTTCCATCCACAGTAGGGGGTTTCCCCGATTGTTCGCTTGGGACGGAAAACCGGGCCCACACCCTGTACGCATGATGTTGCTGGGATGCAGTAGGGCGGAGAAGCGGCGCGGGAGCCACACCCGGTTGTCCCGTGGAGAGAAAAAACACAAGTCATTTTCTCCCAGAAGGGGCAAGGGACTCGTGAAACGCACCCTGCTGTGCCCTCCCTGCAAAAAAATACACAGATCTACGAATGCAGCAATCGGGACATCTACCAGAAATTCAACCGAGGGCCGCCAAATGCACGGGTTTTAGTGAGACAGAGAGAGAGAGGGAGAGTGAGATCTCAAGCCTCGGGAGTAAGCTGGCTAATCGGGGGAAGGCACTTCTCGCACATCGATCGCTCGAGCATCCATGGGTTTGTTTCTAACTGGGCAACCTTGAGTACTGGCGGTTTCCCTTTGCCATCCGCCCCGCAAAAAAACACACACGCCAAACGAAAACTCCTAGAGAGCAGTGGGAGGCTTTGACCCTGTTTGTCCCGTTTTTGCAATCGGCCCCCGCCTGTGAGAAATTCCAAGGTTTGTCAGCGGTCTCTTTTTCACACAGCTTTTGCCCGTGCACCTGTGAACCCGGCAAACAAATCCCCATTGTTCAACCCCCGATCTGGTTTTGGGGCCGTGAACACAGCAAAAAGGACGGGGCTCGTATTTCCTTGGCCGGCTCACCTTTTGGCCTGTGCATTCCAGGGCCTACCGCAAACTCCACATTGACCGAGGCTACCATATACTTCCTCCTGGCTTAGCAAACCGCAGCATTTTTGAAGCAGAGGTCTTTTCTTGTGCCTCCCTTTCCTGCACGCACACAGGAAAAGTTTGTTGTGCAAGGCGGCCAGGCAACACAAGCCACCAACCCTGCCCATAAACTCCACATCAATATCCCATGCCAAAGAAAAGCCTCACCTACAACCTCGGGGCCGTGTCCCCTTTTTCTTGTTTGAAACCTCCTTCTCGTTATTCCTTTCAACCCCACCAACCAAAACACCGGGGGAGGTTTCCCCAAGACCCGCCCCCGGCCAACAGCTCCCCGCCTGCTTCCTCGCGAGCTCCTGCAGCCTCCGCTGCACCTCCGCCCGGTGCGCCACGAACTCCTGACGGCCAGGGGGGTCTTTTTGCCACCTCTTGTGGAAAATGGTTCGACCCCCTCGTAGTGAAGGATTCCTTTTTGAGGGGGTCGAACCATTTTCTCCCAGGAGGCAAAAAGATCCATCCCCTGCTGACGGCTCGGAGTCGGAGCCCGGAAAAGCGAGGAGCATAGGTGTCCTTTTGGAAAAATAGATATGGGTTCCCCTGGTAAATGGAACAAAACCGATCTAAACCAGTGCCATCTGTGTCTGGCCAAACTAACCTAAAAAAGGACACCTATGTGGGTTCTCCTGATAAATGGGTAATAAAACCACTCTAAACCAGTGAATGGCCATTTTTCAGCCACAAGACTGGCGAATCGGGCTTGCCTTGTTCCGGCAGAAAAAAGTCCCATGGACTCTTTTTGTGGGCTCATTTTGTCCCCACCCCCAATACGAGTCTTGTGTTCTTGCTTTCTTCTTTTGGAACCCTCGCAGAGAGATCTGTCCACCTGTCATTTTGCGGGAGTTCCCCATAAACTCACAGACGCCGAAGCTTTCGCTTCGCTCCTCCCAGTTGCTCAGCAGGCGTGACTCCTCAGATGTCCGAACCCAAACTTCCAACCCCCGCAACAATCCTCCCCCAACACCCCAGCCCCAAACAAATGAAGATGGCACCAAAACAACATCCATCCATCCATCCTCAAATTGGATCCCCCGTTTCTGGGCCCCTTAACTTACCTGAAGGCAAGGTGCCGAGAAGCCTGCCGCATGGCATGTTCATGCCACGAATCACAAGTTTGACTCAAATGGTGTTTCCGCGCTCACAGCTTCTTAGGGTTGCTCCAAATACCTGGAACAATAATAGGCATTTGGGTCCTGGCAAAGAGAAATCAAAGGCAGCCCAATGAATTTGTTTACCCTTGTAGTGTTGGTCCTAGTTTTAAAGCTTTTCCGCCAACCCCTGTGTTTCCAGCTACTTTGGGGTGTCTTCCACTAGACTAATTGGATCATGAGAGGCCCAAACACTTGAAAATCCCCATCCCCCTCATGATTTTTCGGATTGTTGGTTCGGGCAGTTGAACCTCGGGTTCCTCTTGAAACCAGAATGATGGTATTAAAAGCCAAATCTCACCGCCACAACCAATCCCCGAACGGATTGACATTGTAACCCTACGTACCTTTCGCGCAGACCCGTGAATTTCAAGAAATCCTCGGGTAGGGTGTGATAAGGTGCTGTGGATGGACGAAATCCTGCACCACCTAAGAGACCAAGAAACCACTGGAATGATTTGATTTCCCTGTTGAATGCCAACAAACCCTATGGTCTCAACCGCGATGCCCCCCACTTTGAGGGGTGGCCGAAGCAACAAAAAAAAACGGGTCTTGTGGAGTTTCCTTCTCCTTTTCCAGCGTGGAACCTAGAAAAGGCTCGAGGAGAATGGGCCCCAAAACCACATGAGGTGAGTTGGGAGCCCCTGTGGCTGGAGATCCAAATGCATATCCCTCTTCGGCTTCCGGGGCACCTCACAAACCTCAGCGGCCCAAATCCAAAGGTCAGATTTCCGGTCGATTCGCTTTCGGCCAGTGAACCCCAAAATTCGGGACACCCAGCAAACGGTCAGCTTTTTTCCGGCTCGTGTCCGCTTCGAACCACCGAGTTCCAAGCCGAAGCAACCTCCCCGAAACCCCTCCCCCCCCCCGTTCGCCGCGTTCGCCGCGTGAGCCGAGCTGCGACCTGGCAGAGCTGCTCCAGCCACTTCTGCGCCCGCGCGGAGGGCCCGGAGCCGCCGCCCTGGCCGGAGATCGGAGGTCCGGTGCCTTCGTTTTCAGCGCCCTGCCAAATGGAGGGCCAAAACGTGGGCCCAAACGTGGCCCAAACAAGGGTCAGAATGTGACAAGCATGAGGCCAAACATATATGGCCAAACATGGCCAAATGGGTTTGTCAACTGCCCTCCTACCCACTAGGTCGAGCTATGCGAAGGACCTTTGTGTGGGGAAACCTTCTCAGGTTGCCCGCTCACCCCAAAGTTTCCTTCAAGAAGGCTCTTGAGACTCGCCTTAACGTTTGCCCAACCAAAAGGACACTTGCCGAACCATTGAATGAAAAGGGATGCCAAAGAATCCCCAAATATGAGGGGAGCCGAACCTCGGCTCGCTCTCCTGACTCGCCCGGGGAAAAAAAAAACACGAAAGCTGTAGGTGCTTGACTCTTAGCGAGTCCCTACCTCCTAAGTTCACTTACCATGGGTCAACATGTTCATTTCTAGTGTATGGTGAACATGGTTAACATTGCTAACAAAAGTTCACCATACACTAGAAATGAACATGTCCGAACCTCTTGTCAGACCTTGGACTTGCTGGCCCTTTCCCATGGACCTACCACTTGAGAGTGATTCTGAGAATGGGAAAATGAGGAGACTGGGAACATGCAAGGACCCCTGCGATACCAAAGGGGGTGGTCTTTGCCATCGGCAATGATTCCAACTTTCTGGGACCGAAGATTCGATTGATCCGTTTCTGTGGGTAGTTTTGTTTCTTTGTTTAAATGAATCTGCACAAAGTAGAATGATTCCCAAAGTAAGATTGCTATAACTTTTGCGCACATGACTAGCAGCCGCAATGCCCACGTTCAGAAGAATCTGCCACTTGCCAACCCACCTTCGCCGCCTAAAGCTCAAGGCGTGATGCAAGCTACCTGGGTTTTGCTGCCGATTTCACCCAGCCTCCACGAAACTCGCAGGGACGGCTAAGAAATGATCTGAATGAAGATTCACATGGAAGAAAACCCATCCATCTTCGAGGACGAAATCGGGATCGGGATCGGCACGCCCGCTTTTCGAGCTCCATGCAACCGCTCGCCGCTCGCCCCACCTTGTCGTCCATAGAGAGCCCACAGGGAAATGTCATGGCTGGTCTTGCACCACGAGCCAGTCAAATAACTCTTGGCAGTCTCAAGAAAAGCAAATGAGCGGCACCATCTGGTATCCCTGGCAAGACACGTAGTGCTACGAAAGAGTCAAGTAAACATCCCAGGATAACTTTCATGTTGCGAAGCTTCCGAGAACATGGAAGCGGCGCCTTCAGAGAGATCGAGCTGCCGAACTGTATAAATTACTGTTCTGCGCAGAAAGTCATTGATTGAGTACTGGCATTGGGGCTACAGCTGTTCCAGGTGGCCTGATGTTTCCATGCTCTGCCACATTGCCGAAAAGCTGCACGAGGCCGTTCAAGCGCAAGAGAAGCAAGGGGTTCAATCAACAAACAATGGCAGCAAGAGCTCAAGCTAACCTAGAAACAAAGCCAGATTCGAAAAGAGCAGCAAATCCACGGATATTGTGAAATCTTAATCGCGGATTCATCCGAAGGACCATGATCATCCAAGAAATCTCGAAAATCAATGATTCCCCACTCAAAGGAGAACCACCCCTGATTCGTATGGTCCTCCAGATTAGTGAAGTTGACGCTGACACTGAAACAATGTGACTTCACACCAATATCAATGCTTGGAACACGGTGTATCTTACCGCACTTGCCATACATCGCCATATCATCGCACTTGGCATTTGCCATGCGACAAGACACTCAGTGCCCATCTGCAAATTGGTCGTGTTGTCACGCGAGCGCTCGACTCGGGAAGCCAAAACGAGTCGTAATCAAAGCCTGTTGGCGTGGCAAGGGGAGTCCCCGGAAACCCTTCAGCCGCGGATTTGGCTGTGGCTCACAACTTGCAGGTTGCAGCACCAGTATTTCAGCGGCAGCGCTTGCATGAGCTTTTCCCGTGGCATCAAACGGTTCTGATCGTTCTGCCCAGAAGCTAGTCCACTGCCTCCGTTCGGAGAAACTGTGAAAAGATCGCACCGGGCAGAGAAGCCATGGCCAAATAGCTCACGCGAAGCTCACAAACTCGACCTGGCGACAACTGTTGGCCATGCGCTGTTCAGCTCATGTGCCCCTTGGTACGCCCCTTCCCAATGCCTTCATTTCCCACCTGAACCTTCGGAAGGAAGTCTTGTGCCACTTTAGACAGCCGTGGCACGCCCGGTCGCATGCGAATGAAGTTGCTCATACTTCCCTGAGCAACAATAGAAATCAGCGATGCAATTGAATGGGGAATAAGACGACTTGAATAGCTCGTGTCACCATTGGTCTGTGATGGTATTGACATAGTACTGATACAGCGTGTTGTGCAAGGGCTTGTGCGGAAGCAAACCCTTTGTATGGCACTGGACATCTGTGAGCCACAAGCTACGTACACAGCATGACAAAATACATATACTGAGTACAGTACGTGAAAGATTAAACGAGCATAACAAGACATATTCCTAAGATCCTCCAACCACCGAAACGCTTCCACTGCTGAAACAACCATACCCACAACCTCTACCAAACCGCAAACCACCACAACCACAGGCCATCACAACCAACGTGACCATAGTTCCCGCGACATGCACAGACACCACCACAAACAATACTCAATCAGCCAAATAAGAAACCCAAGCAAGCATACAATCAAACAGCCATCCAAACATCCAACCAGTCAAACAATCAGTTGCATGAACAACCATCCACAAAGCAAATCCGATGGTAACCTAAATGGGAACAGCAGAAGCGGCATTGTGGGAACCCGGCAAATACTTGCACCAAACATTCACTTTGGGGAACCCATTTTGGGGTGGATTGATCGGAACACAACAGAAAAGCCGCCCTTGCTGGCAGTTCCGAAGTGTCCATTAAAACGGCAAACCCAAATTTGTTGGAACTGTTGTTGAGGATACCCTTCTGGATGGCCATAAAGGGAAACCAACAGGAAACCACTCCATTTTGGGATTCCCCAATTTTGAGACAGACTCAACTTTAATAGACAGCAAGTCATGCTCAGAACCGCCTTGCAGAGGGATATCCTTTCAGACACGCCCAGCGCGGCTATTTTTGTTGGGGCTTCAGGCCCACCTGGACCCAGCATATGCACCGAGGAACCCAAGTTGGGCGTGTGTTTGAAGGGAAAACCTGTTGCAAAACCACCCGGGTGGGGGTTTTGGGGGACGGGGAATTAAAAAACAAAAAAACAAGACTTTGTTGGGCTTTAAAAAAAACACGGGGAAAAAAAGCGTGAGACAAACTTCCCCCAGGGCCGGTACCTGGAGCTGCACCACCTCGCCGCGCTGAAGCTCTGGGAGCTTCTCCTTCAACTCCTCAGGAGTTGACATGGCCAACGTTTACCGAGGTTTCAAGAACTTGGTTGACGTTGCAAGGGGAGCAACAAATTTAGATTTTGGCAATTCAGTGGGGATTTCAACCACTAAACTGCAATAAGCAACAATGTAAAGTGTGTCCCAACGACAACCATGAGAATATCTTCCATTTGCTTAAGCCCCTGTGGCAATATATATATATATATAGTATAGGCCGATCCTTTTTTCCGGGAATTTTTTCCAACGCTTTTGGGAATTTTTTCCGATTCATTTCTGACTGGACACAGACACACACACGCTCCAGCAAACACGCCCAAGCACACACTGAAAAGACACGCTCTTACACCTACTGCAACACACCCACAAACACAAACCCACTCGCACACGCACACACACACACACACACACACACACACGCACGCAAACATGCGGCCGTAGTAGCTCAACACAAAGCAAAACACCGTCAAGCATGGACTCAGACTTACACGCACACCCAAACATACATTGACACACAAGCAGAAGCACACGCACACACACACACAGACTGAAACGCACACTCAAGCACGCTCAAACTCACAAACGATATGTACTTTTTTCAGCATCGTGCAGTCAACGAATCCGGCCCGCCAGCGGCACCTAGCGCGAGTGGCCGGGCGATGACGCTTGGCAGGTTATTTGCAAGCAAGAACGTGACGGAACAGGAGAACACACAAGGCCCATAGAGCACAGCAAGAAGCCTTCTGGGAACCCTCCAACTCAAGCAACTTGCTCTTGACTGCCACGGGGTCGATAAGCAGCGGCACTCCCCGCCTCCAGCGCTTACCTCGGGTAGATTTGCCGCAATGCAGCAAGCCTCTCTGCCTTCGGCGTCGCCTAGCGTGCAAACGTATGCTTGCAACGCGCACAACAGTTCTCTTCCGTCGCTCAACATAGCATAAAAAGCCCAAGCGGCGCTCCACAAGGAGAGCCGGCGCCGGGCGACGACCCGCCTCCCGTCGTCCTGGCCACGCAGCACGACACGATCGCACATCTTCAAGCTTGTGAGCCACGCAGGAAAATGCAGTTGCTCCACTGCATGCCTCGGCAAAGCTCGCACAGGGCGCCGCCGCCAGCTCGGAGTCCTGGGTTGCGTGTGGTTTTGTTTTGCGGCACAAAGTGAGGGCCAACGGCACTCCCAAAGTATGACGAGGGAAGAGACCCCCGCCTGCGTTCCCTGCGCTCGAGCAGCACTGGACCCCGATGAGCAGCTTGCCTGGGGTTGGGGCTGCTTCTTGGCACTGTGTTGCAACTCTACGCCTTGCCTTGTTGAGCACGTTTTTCAGAGCGTGGGCTTCTGCGAGCCGTAGATCGAAGAACATCTTCAAATCAGCGTAGCTCAAGCTCCTCGGATGCAAGTATGTGCATGGGTCAGCGCACTTTGCTCCTGTGCAACTTGCTGACTAGCCATGAACACGCAGATAAGAGTCTGAAGGATCTCGACTGTCGCATCTTGGCTCGTGAAGCGCTCTTGCAGAGAAGCCAAGCCTGCAGCCCGCAGCACTGCGCTGAGGGACTGCGCTTCGGCAGAAGATACAGGAAGCGCAGATGGCTGCGTGACGCAGCGGCTGGCAGGGGCTACCGAGGATGGCAGACGCAGGATGTCAGGCTCCCGGGCAATCGCCAAGCCTGCGGGGTGGCGCGCAGCCTTTTTAGGGCGACCACGCTTTGGGCCAGAGAGTCCTGAAACAAGCCCTCACCCAGCATGGCGCAGTATGCATGTTCGCACGGGCCCCATTTAGCGGCCGAAGGACAAAGGAAGCAGAGGCTGCGCATGTGCTTGTTGCGCAGGCCTGGTTTAGGCAACGGGCGATGTTGCTGCGCCCAATATTCAGCAACTGCGGGGCCCAGCACAACACATCGCCAGTCGTCCAAAACCCGGAAGGCTCGCCCCCAATCTGACTGACGACGCGTATCAAAAATGGCAAGGCGCTGCAGAGCTTCCTGCACAGCTGGCACGGAAGAGGATGTGCAGAGCGTGGCAAAGAAACGCGCGCTTTGCGGTGGCAGCTGGACGGGTGTCCGGTCGACAAAGGTCTTGCGCCGGACATCAGGGGGCAAGCTTGGGTCGCGAGAATAGCGGGAAGACGGAACAAGAACCCAAGTGTTGCCGACAGAGTCGGTCCACTGCTGGTGGAGGTGCCACTCCCACAAGCTTTGGGCAGAAGTGCGGCCAGCTTTGCGTATGGCGGCGCTGCCCTTCAAGAGCTGCTAATCCATCAGCCTGCGACTGGACTTCGCGAGGCTTTTGCACGACTGCAACTCGTGCCGCACAACCACTTCCAGCTGCCGGGCCAAGTCGACCGGAGCAGAAGCACGGCCAGCGACAAGGCGCTTGAGCGTTGTGCCGTGCCAACTTTCCTGCGGAGCAGAGCCGACGGCGGTGCCAAAGCAAATGCGGTCCGGGCCAGCACGCCAGGCAGCGTCCCACTGCCCGTGTGACAACACGAAGTAATGCCTCTGCAAAGGTCGAAGGACGGGGTGGTTGGCGCCAAGCCGTTGCCAGATGCTGCTCCAAATGACGTGGAACAAAGCCGCAGGTAGGAAGCGAGACAAGCCAAACCAAGACAGCAACCACGACAGCTGCGCGTCGCCCTGATGGAAGTACCGGCGCGCTAGGCCTGGAAATCCAGCTGGCCCCGGGGCGGTTGTTCCGGTGACATGCGCCCAATCCGACAGGCGCGCAGCATGCGCAGCGAGGCGCTGACGAGCAAGGTCCAAGCCGGGATGCATATCACCATGCCACTGACGGACACTGGCAGCTGACACACTTGGCTGGAACCGCTGGCACACAGCAAGAACACAATCAACGAGGCGCGCGTAGCATTCCTCAGACTCGACGCTGGCTATAGCAAAGCCCAACGGAACATACTTGGACCGGCAAGTGGAGGGGAAGCCTGCTGAGCCTGTGGCCCAGTGCTTCACATTCACACCGACATTTAGCAGCGCGTAGTCAGTGCCAAGGAGCAGACGGTATGTGCCGTCCAACGACAGCTTGATGTTTGATGGCACTTCTAACAAAGAGCACACTTGCTGCACGAGGCTCGGGCAAATCAAGGGGACGACCACATGTTCCCGACTGATACTCATGCCAACAACACGAAGACTTGGGTCCGTTGGCTGGAGGCGGCCATCATCAGGAGTGAGATGCGAGGCACCACCAAGGTCGGCATTGAGCTTGTCTTGAAGAAAATGAAAGTCGCTGACATCCCAGCCGACCCGCTGTCACTGCGCCCTCGTCGGATGAATGCGCTCTGAGGGACTTGCGGTAGCGGACCATGTGAGCTTCCAGCTGTGACTTGGATGGTGGAGTCAAGTCCTTTTCTGGTTGCCCAGCCTTGCGCAGGGCGCTGACCTCGCCCATGACCAGCTTTGTGTCTGTGGCTTTAGTGCGGAGCACGCACAGTCGCTGTCGCCATGTCATCGTGCCATACAGCTCTCGCTCATCTGGAGCGTGCTGGGTCGCAGCTTCGTAGCGCAACGCAAGCTTGGCAGGCTTAGTAGCTGTGGCAAAAGCCAAATTTGCGGCGCCTGACCAGTTGCACAGTTTGCCGGTGTCCTTATTGCAATGGGTGTTGCGATAGAAAACACAAGTAAGGCCAGCCCGGGTGCTTTTGCGAGGCTTGCACCGGACAAGGAGGCTTGAGTCCAAGCCCTTATCCGCAAAGTGGCTCTGAACAGCTTTGTGCAGCGCTTCCTGGCTCACGTCGGAGTCGAAATGCAAGGACTCTTGCACCTCCAGCCTTTTGCTAAGCTCCTTTGTCTTTCTGCCAGCCTTGGCTGCAACCTTGGGTCGGCCGTGCTCTCTGCCCTCGATGGCGGTTGCGCGAACACTCTTGGTCTCAGAATCGTACCAAGCTTGCCCGGTCCACTGACACGTGCCATGTTGACAGCTTGCGCACCGCAATTGCCATGTCTGCCGCCTCTTCTTCTTTCTGTCAGTGGCTTTGACTGTCCAGGTCTGTTCATGCACTTTCTTATGGCACAGTGCGCGGCTCAACAGCACTTCAACATCCGCACTGCTGCTTGGCGGGCGCTGACATGAGATAGGTGCACAAAGTTGGGTTGCAACTCGAACAACTGGCTCTGCCTTTGCCTTGGCTGCCTTCTTCTCAGCAACTTTGCGTGGCTTGCCTCGAGGCTGCAAGACTTTCTTGCCTGCAGATTTGGGTTTTGCCTGCGAGCCCTGCTTGCCGGTGCCACGCAGATGCACCAGGGCGCTCTCCGAATCAGGCGCTGTTGCTAGGTCTGGAGCAAGCGCAGGCTTCGGCCACACGCCAGCTGGCACCCTCAATGACTGCAGCATTTGGGCAACGGACTCAGTGAGCAAGCTTTGTCGAAGCCTGACTGGCGTCACTTGGAGGCTGCGGGAAGCAAGTCCGTGCGCAGGAGCTGTTTCCAAGCTTCCAAGACCTAGATCTGCTGCTTCTTGCAACAATGCAAGCCTCTTCTCACCAGTCTTGTCACTTCGCAAGTGTGTCATGTGGCAGGACAAGCTAGAAAACGTGATGGGCTCCTCTAACACGCAGCGCAGCATGCGGCCTACAGTGTCTGCGGAGGCATGGGCTTGGCTATCAGACGAGTGTCTCGCAACACAGGCGCTACGCGCAGGCGCCTGCTCCGCCTCTGCATCCACCACGCAAGCCCCAAGCGCCATTCGCAAGTCCAAGAAGCGTAGAGCACACTTTAAGGCATTATCGCTTATGTAGGCGCTTGTCACTCTGCTGAATGCGTTCTCCTGCATTTGAATGAAAGCTGCTTGGGCCGCAACAACGTACTCAAATTTGCCCAACAAGCCCCTCACAGCTGTGCCCCACTCCTGACCGGCCATGAGTGGCTCCATTGCAAGAAAAAGGTCTTCCATTGCAAGCTCTTGCGAGCGACAGAAGAGCAAAGGCCGAGGAGTTGAGGTCTGCGCGTGGCCGTGGGCTTGACAGACCCCGCGCCACAGTTGTAGACACAGT